ACACACACACACACACACACACATACACACACGCAGCGAAAGTTTCACTCTATGAATTCAATAAGTATTTCAAAAAAAGGGGCGATGAGGTGATATTATTCCAGTGCTGGATAGTAACTGATTATATGTAACCTGGATTACATAATCAGGTTCCAAAAATTGAGTAGGCCTACTCGTAATTAGATTATATTACAAGTTAAAATGCTCATAATCAGATTACAGTTACTTTTTAAATTGATTACATAATTACATATTCACACAATGGCAATAAATTATTCATAATATATTGATTCTCCCAAATTCTTATTTTTTTCTCTTTTAAAGTTTAATTTCTAAAAGTCCTTTGTGTCATACCATTAGTTTTGACTATATTCACAATATAGAATGGCCATGTAACATGCAAATGTCATGTAATTAATTTTCAATCCTGTTCTTAGCGTTCAAGTCTTTAATTTTGATTGTTTAATTTTACAATTATTTATTTTTAGGATTCAATTAATTATGTTTTTTTTTAATCAACTCACAAACCCACTGCAGTTCTTACATTAACCCCAGTTTAGCAAACCCTGGTGTAATATAATGTTTAATGAATTTTATGATGTTGATATCAAAGAATGGAATATATTTTCTTTCTCTTTGCTTTTTTATATCAATATGGTACATTTAATGGTAAGTTTAAAAAGTAATCTAAAAAGTAGTCAGAATACATTCCCTAAAATGAGTAACACAGATTATGTTACTAACTACAATTTTCAACATGTAATCTGTAATCAGTAATGAACTACTATTTGTAAGTAATCTACCAGCACTGCATTATTCTACTCACCCTTCAAGCAGCAAACATTAGAAGCAAATATTTAAGTGTAAAAGCATTAAAAAATTACTTCCAACAGACCATGAATAACTTCAAAAGCTCCTTTCTGCAGCAATATTACAGATGTGTTAAATATCACTGTAGTATTATATGTGTATATAGTAACAAAGGAGGAACTAGTAATAAAGAAATACAGATTTGCTTCACTGAAGTTAAACGCTTATTGTATTATGTAGAGTATTATGAGAGAGAGATGGACTGAGTGAGTGTGATTACCTGCATCTGATACAACATTCATTCTTCAGCTCAATCTCATATTCAGAATAAAATAACAGTTTCAATGTCAGCTGAGGAAAGCGATATCTTTGTCGTACTATCTGTTGCACATTTTATTGGTCAAGATTGCAGAGATATGTATTTTGTAAAACGTTTGCAACTGCTTTATCACTTAATTAGAAACACCACAATAATTAAATTAGAAAGAAAGAAAAGAAAAAAGAAAAGTCATACAGCTGAAGAGTATAATGCCTGAATTGTATTTATTTATTTATTTAGAGAACTATCCCTTTATGGTTACATTAACAAACCATTGAAAAATCATGTCTGCAGTTGAAACCAGGTCCCCCAAAATGTTGCCAAAGAATCATTTATTTTGTCCATTAGTCAGTATGGGCCCTAATAATCCGATCGTAATAGGACTAGAAGCACCGTCAGAATAAAAAAGTCATATGTAACCACGTCAATTGGATTGAATTGGCCAGATCCGATTAAAATTTCGATCAGATTGTAAGGGGAGGTTTATTCCTTTTGTAATCCAAGTGAGAGGACATGTAAACACTTGATCGGATTGAAAACCGAAACT